ACCCTGAAAGACACTGCCAGACGGCCAGCCCGGGTGGCCTGTGCCTACGCCATCGCGTCTAGATATCCCGGTACCACCTGCGCCTGCGCTTGGTGCCTGTGCCTGTGCTTTCCCGCACACATTGCCGGTCATCTCCAAACTCCTAATAGCTCTCGTGGTATTATTAAATGGCCATTCTTCGTCATTGCCGCACGCCGGCGCTGCAGCCCCCTTGCGGGCCACATCAGACGGAGTGAACACTAGGCTGTACTGGCCCGTCCGGGCGTCGGCCCTTCACGACTCTCTCCTATCCGGCAGATGTTCAAGCCACTTGCGGCCCCCAAGTGAGAAAACCCGGACATTGGGGGCGACGACGGCAATTGGAAGGTGAGGGCAACTTCTCAGCTCCCTTCGTGACCGTTGGTGGGCCCCCCAAGAAAGAGGCTAACCGGCGTACAGCATCTGCATCGCAACAAGCACATTTTCCAACCGAAGCCTGTGCGAATGTTGACAGCCCAGTATCTTGCCTCACCGTCGGAAACTGGCCCGGAAGCACCCATGAATGGAGGGGCATCCGATACTCTGTACTCGACAATCAGAAAAGACCTTGTCATGTGTTTCTCAAATTACTTTTTTTTTCCTTTCGGCCCCATGGTGCCACTGGCCAGACTACAAACGATCAAACCGATTCATTGCCAACCCAACTATAGAGCCTGAAATTTCCGTCGATAGGTTCGGAATATTTCAACCAAACTTCAAACGAGACTCTCACCGGTGAAATATAGTACCTCTCCATCTTTTTCTCCGCCAGTATCACCCCTCCACGCCCGCCACCCCTGATCACACCTGACGGACCCAAAGACTCCACATGGATGAATCTGCACAAGATAGATTGCCCAATCGGCCGTCCGAGACTCAAGTCTGGTCAGCCAACAGCATGGGTCGTGTCTGGCTCCTGTGTCGCGCGCGGCGGCTCACGACCAAGCAAGCTCTGGACTAGAGACGGCGTTTCCGCTAGCTAGAAAGTTATTTCCTCGACTCTGATTGCTCCTCGCTGCCGCGTAGGAAGCACTCTATGCAGTCGCCTGAGTGGACGTTGACAACAGTTGGCTTTCGTATTGACCTGGGCAGCATTTGTGTGCTTAATCTTGTCTTGAGAGTCTCCGCTCGCTGGATTTCCGGCCGTGACAGCCACCACTGGCGATCAGTAGCCACTCGTAGGGCGGCAGGCCTTTGCTGAAACCCGCCCCTCATTCTATTGACCTGACCTGAGCCTCCTGAAGGCTGAGTTTGGCGAGATTAGCTGGTGCTGGTTCACTTTGTCTCTTGCCTTCTCCGCACGGCAATGTCATGGGCAGGCACGGCAGGCAAGGCCAGGAAGAGCAGGGGGTCGGAAGGGGAAGGTCCATGTGAAAACGTCCCTGAAGATCCCGGCCATATCCCACGACCGTTAAGCCGCAACCCCATGTGTCAATGTGTCACCAGCCTCTCTCTCTCTGTGTCACAGTTCGCAGAGAAGAGGCTGAGTTGAGTTGTGGCACAAGTCGCACGTACCATTGGCATGAAGTTGATGAGTGAAATGCAGAAGAATACGAGTCGGAGAGATGCAGTATTCTCCACGCCGTCGTCGTCACCGACGCCAGAGCCACCTCCTGCACACGTCGTCGACTATCAAATTTCCCATTGTCTAATGCGTCCATGCCGGCTCACAACGTCTATATGGGATTCATATATTATTCATAGATGAAGGTAGTATAACCACGACGTCTACGGATACTCTGCTAATAACTTTTTGGTTCCGTCAGTCTCGGTATGGATAGATACGAATAACAGTTGCTCGTTCAGTACGGAGTATTTCAGCACCCATCTCCATTCGCACCCCCTCTCCGAACAACATGCTCACGCCCCCCCTCCCCCATGCAACCCCCAAACCCCACCACGGTTCCAGGTTCGTCGTCGACGTTACATCCCCTAAAAATTTCTCTTCATCCTTTTCGGGACGACAACCTTTATTCTTTCCACTTGCAGCAGGTTTCCTTGGTACCGTGAACGGTGGTACAGACATCTTCATCCTGAAATTCCTCAGCGGCATCAAGCAGAAGAAAAACACGCCCGTTGTTGTTGTTTTTTTTTTGTTTTTTTTTTTGCTTGTGAGTAGCATTCGCTTTACCTGCACAGACGATTCGCCGAGTTAAGACGTCTCTTCCCTCGGCTTGCACACGTTTCCCACATACACTGGACACGCCCCCTCCACCTTGCCGTCTCCGTCCCATCTCTGGGTAGGACTCACAGACGACGGCCGTTGCTCCCCTTCGTCATCTGTAAACCATCCGTCAATCCACGCGGCGCTGGTGAGGATTGAATATTGCTTACATAGCACACATACTCCGTACACTCGTACTTCCAGGCCCAGGATGATACGTATTCCGTACCCACGTACCTAACCAACCCCAGCTCAACGACGTACCAAGCTAAACCCACCAGCTGGGTGTCGGTTTGAGGATGAAGGAAACGAGCCAATCATGTGGCCCAGCTCGACCCTGTCATGAAACAATAAAGGGCGGTGGGCGGCCAATCAAACCTCGTTTCCGATGTGACAGCGCCGGACGATCACGAATTGGTGAAGTTTGGTTTGGCACCCTACGAACAGAATCCGAACGTTGGTCGTCTGACCGGGAGGGGATGCGAGGGTTGAAAGGGTGGTAAACCGGAACGGCCTTCTCGGCTTTGCTACTCTGCATCGAACGCTTTGGGCTCTCTGGGATCGCGATCAGGTTTTTATTTCCCTCCCCCGGTTGTTTTGTTTTGTTCCCGACATTCCCTTGATAAGGATTTTACTGTGAAGTGGGCACGGAGGAGGGGTGAAGGCGGAAGGGGAGGGGGAGCTCTCATGATGCCGTATGATGCCCATGCATGCCGTTTATGATGTCTTATCCGATCTTTCTCAGCCTCTCCTATCGCCTCCGCGCGCTTACGCCGCCTCCCCGGGAACGTCAACCACGCGGGAGTTGGATGGTCCGTGGACACGATGCGGTGGAAGGGCCCTTGTTCACGGGGTGAAGGGGGGTTGATCTCTCTCTCTTGTTGTCTCACCGAGAAGGAAAGAGTCTAACCCGGAGCCTGGGCTGTCGGGGTCGGGGAGACGCCGCGGGGGGGGGCCTTGAGTATTCTTTGAATCTGATTTCGGACCGAGACATGTTGTAGCCTGTAGGTCGATGGTTCTACGAATACGATTTCGACTTGATGAGACTTGATTTGCGAGATCTCTGGGCCTGAATACAGAGACTGCTTCGACGGCTTGCTGATACGGACAGCATTCGCGTACTGCGGCGATCATGTTGATTGATTTTATCCAACATCGAGATGAGCCAAGCCCCATGAAGTTTAAGCTTAGCGTTTGAAGACTGTCGCCCGCGGGATTGGTTACCAAGAAATGCACGTCTCTTCTCCATGGTCATCGGGACTCTTCTCGAGAGAACAAACGGGGGCGAACAAAGAAGTGCGCTATCGATCTTTCCATCATTCTTCTCTGTTTCTCTGAACCAGTCAGAGGGGTCGATAGGACTTAATGTAGCGGAAGCTGCAAGGTGATGTAAGGTAGTTTGCTCGTGCGCGGTGCAACAACAAACCAAGCCGGGGTTGGTTGAAAAAAGACAAAAGATGTGGTAGAGAGCTGCGTGACTTGCATCTTGCCGCGCGCCTGTAGGGGCGCATCTCCATTGATCAAACTCCTACCCATTGCGGAAAGCGTCCATCACAAGTGTGCTAGGTTTCTATTGGTTCTGGGGCGACAGTTTGTTAGATGGTAGGTTTGCCAAACAACGGAATCACAAGACCAGTGAGCAGGTCTTGCATGCTATGACGATGTGCTGGGGGATATGACAGTCAAGACTCTAGTTGTGTGGTTTGATGCAGGATAGTAGCAATATTGGTTTTTTGGAAAAAATCCTGACCATGAAGATGATAGGGCAGGAGGAGAACGGCGGCGTCTTGGGGGGAGGGGGAATCTCACGCCGTTGCATCTGCCGAGCGATAGACTTTTACCCTAAAGATACTCTCGATGACATTTTGGCGGAGGAGGGGAAGGGGGCGCGAAGCGAGGCGAGATTCCTTTTTTTGAGATTCTTTGTTACTTGCGGCGCCGTCTTGACGTGACATTTTGCGATGCGATGTGAGCTTGCATGTGGTAGAGACGCCCGGGTTGGCGGTCGGGACCTTGCTCTAGCATGACAGCTGGTCTCAGATGTAGGGGATGATTGCCAGCTGGTAGCTTATCAAATTGATCCGCGGGTCCGATATCAAAAAATTTCGAGACGACGGGCACTAGATGCGCGCGCAGTGCAAGTCGACCTGGTGTAAAGTTGAATTACAATACCCCGCGAAAAGACCAATTCGATACCCCATTTCAGCGACAACTGAGAATTTATTTTCGGTAAACCCATTCATAAGAATCTTTCATCATTACAAACAAAACAAAAATGCCCGGCAGAACCGACTCGGAAGACGTCCCCATGGACGAGGCGCCCACCTCTCACCAGCCCGAGGAGGAGGTCGAGGAGGAAGAGGAAGGCCAGGACTCGAATGAGCAGGAGGAGGAGGAGGAGGAGGAGGAGCAGGAGGAGCCCCAGCGCGTCAAGATTGTGAGTTTCTTTCTTGCTTCCACCGCCGGGTCTGCTTGAAGCTAACTTTTGCGAATTAGCTGCCCGGCTCAACAGACACAGCCGCCTCATTCGAGTTCATCGATGAGGGTCACACACTGGGCAATGCGTTAAGATATGTCATTATGAAGAAGTATGTTTTGAATTTTGTTGGTCTCAATATCTTTCACAGTGGGAGACCTGGTTTTGTCGGCCTTCTACTAACATCACCCCTCCTTTCTTCAGTCCTGACGTTGAGTTTTGCGCCTACGCCATCCCCCACCCTTCGGAACCCAAGATGAACATTAGAATCCAGACCTATGGTGAGTCTTTCCCCCCCTTCACCTCTCTCATTCCTAAAATTGAATGTTCCCTGACTGTGTCACTCAGACGGTACCGCCGTCGCGGCTCTGCAAAAGGGTCTCAAGGACCTTCAGGCCCTCAGCGACACTGTCGCCGAGGAGTTTATCCGCGCCAAGGAGGAGTTTGGTCGTTCATAGCGACAGTGATTCTTTGGAAGATGGAAAAAAAGGCGTTCTTGTTTTTGTTTTATATGGGAATGGAGACACCAAAATAGAACCAATGGCGTAGACAAAACAAATGAAGTAAGACCAACGAATTAGTCGTTATTTCTCGTGGCTTTGTTTGCGGAAATGTTTTTGAAATTGTATATCTTATGTACACGAGCTCTAACCCTCCAGCGCTCTTAGTTGCGGCCCTAAATAATGTGAGGTTAGCGATCCGTCTCGAAAGAGCGTCAAACGTTGGCTGGTGCCCTTCATCCCCTTGCTCCTCCCGCTCTAGCATGCCCGTAGCCCTTCTGTGAGAAACTTACCTCCAAGAATCCGGTCATGAAGCTGTTGGGCAACCGCTTGTCTCCTCTAAAGTTCTCCTCCTTGAAGTAGGACATGATGTGCGTCGTCTGCTTCCAGAAGTTCATCGTCTCCTGCGTCGTTGTAATATGTATGTCAGCTCTTTGCTCTTGTATCTTGCCAATCCCAATGCCATGCGGCCAATCCATCTGCTGTGGAGCAAAATCTCCAGCCTCTTTGGCTCCCTCGATATATTTCGCTGCGCGCGTGCGGGAAGGGGGGTTTGTCGCCGGGGGGGGGGGGGGGGGGGGGGGGGGGGGCGGCATACCTGGTATTCGGCGTGGCTCTTGAACAAGAGAACGTCCACCACGGGGAGCTTGTTGGCGAACCTGTGGCGCTCAAACTCCTCACGTATCCGGGTGCGGAGGACGGACACGGGCAGGGGGACGTTGTACATCGTCTGGATCTCAGGCGCCTATTCCCAGTATTCCTCAATTAGCACCGCTCCATGCTTTCAACTCCCATCCCTTCAAGCCAGCCCTCTTGCATATATCGTCCTCGCATCGTTGCGCGCCTTGCTCGAATTTACCGCGTACGCCGGATATCCTATAACGGGGGACGAATTGGGAGGCAACGTACAGCTCGGATCCATTCTCTGTAGGAAGCGAGAACCCGTCTCTTTGCGTCGTTCCAGTTGGCCGCTGCTCGACGAATCAGTGGGAATTTCGGGGTCAATTGGTTTTTACGACTCACACTGCCGGGTCGTCTTTGCGAATTGGGTCGGTGTGATGGCCATGGTGGGCGCGGGGGGAAGGGCGGGCGATGCTGGTGAAGAGGGCGGTTTTGCTTGCTGCGCTACGTGATTCCCGAACGGCCTGTCGTCGACTCGCTGGTCTAACTGGGTGGAACGGGAATCTTGGGAAGCTCCAAGGTTCCGGACGGCCCAATCACGTGTGGCTCCTTAGTCAGCCCGGACCCAGCGCCTGCACCTTCTGCCGGCCTGGCCAGCGGCGTTAGTGGCATGCCCGATAAGATATCGGGAGCTTTTTGCCCCACTATCAACTTGACCTTTTGAACTTCAACTCACTTCGTCATTCTGCCAGCCTACAGCCGCGACGCGCAACGAGACGAACCTCGACGAGACCGCGAGAGCCCATCGAACCTCAACACACGTGTCCTCTCCAATAACCTACGGTATATTCCCGCAGAATAGTAGCCCACCATGCCTCCCATGCGATCTTCGAAGCGCAAGCCGCCTCCAGAAGGCTTCAACGACATCGAGGACCAGCTCCTCATCTTCCAGAACAAGATGAAGGATGCGCAGAACAAGCCGCCCCCGACGGGGCCGAAGCACCAGGCGCAGTGGGAAATTTTCCAGATTGCGCACGCGAGGAGCCGCTACATTTACGACCTGTACTACGAGAAGGAGGCCATCAGCAAGCAGCTGTACGAGTGGCTGCTCAAGAATGGTTACGCGGACGGAATGCTGATTGCCAAGTGGAAGAAGCAGGGCTACGAAAAGGTAAGTTGCCGTGCCAATGGAGGTTTCCGAGCTATGTTGCTGACATGTGTCTATAGCTTTGCTGCTTGCGCTGTGTCCAGACCAAGGAGACCAACTTCAACTCGACGTGCATCTGCAGAGTTCCCAAGGCCCAGCTCAAGGGGGACCAAGAGGTCCAATGCGTCGCTTGCGGATGCCATGGCTGCGCTTCCAGTGACTAGAGGAGCAGAGTCTCTGGTCGTGTACGTGTTTCTTAGGGATATCTCCTACACGAGGCCGTCCCTCGGTATGGCCTCCAGGCGACAGAGGGCCCCCGTGGAGGGCAGGCGTTCGGCGCTTAGCATGGCAGGGTTGGTTCCGGCCCTTGGTACGATCACTCGGGTCGTTGTTTACGGCAAAGAGGTAGTGATCCTTTCAATTGACCGTTTTGGTATCATCATGGCCTGAACGCTAATCGAAGTAGTGGTATCATTCGTGACGTCTTCATCGTTTTGCAAAGCCTGCTCGTCCTCCGCCCCTGCCAAATCGCACGCTATTTGGCACAAAGTTCAGCGCCGACATTGCGCCAGCGAGATCCTCCATTTCCGTATCTGGACGTTCCGTTATCGCTGGTTCCGCGGGCACAGAGCTGGCCTCGGACTTGGCCACAGCATCTCCTGACTTTTGTGACTCTCCGCCTTGTGAAGTGGACGCGTCTAGGATGCTTGACCTACGCTTCGAATCCTTGGTTGCAACGAAAGCGTTTGACGATTTCCGTCGGTGATGACCTGCTTCTACTAGCAGTGACCGTCGCCCGTCGACACCCTCCCTGGTCACAGCAAAAAAGTAGTTCTTGGGAAACGCGTGTTTATCGATGAGGTGCATCCGGCGTTTCTGCGGCGTCATGCACTTCCTCTCGCAGCCCTCTACGAAGCAGGAGTACTGTCGTGAGTGTCAGACGCAGTTCAGAATAGGGGCTGGAGAGAGAGAGAGAGAGAGAGAGATTGTGTGTGTGGGGGGTGATGTTACCGTGTGCTCTCCTCTCTCCCGCTTCACAGCGGCGAAGGAATCATGGCATTCCTCATGGTGCACATTAAGCAGATGGCCCGACGGTAGGTTCCTCCCGCATTCCAGACACCTGTTGGTGTGCGTGGCTATGTAGTGCGCCTCGTAGTCGTCGTATGTCTTGAAAGTCAGGGCCTCCTTGTGAGGCGGAAGGGAACATTTCATGGCAAAATCCCCCGATGCTCCCTCGACGGCGGGCTCTAGTCCAGTGATCTTGGCAGCGCGGTCGTCTGAAGTGGACGTCTCCGGACTGCTACGCTCGTCTGTAGAAATGCCAGAGGACGGGTGTTCCTCTTCGGCCTCTCGTGAGCGTTTCATCTTGAGTGAAGGCCAACGTGACGGGGGGGTTGGATTACTTGCAGATCAGGCACTCGAATTTCCCCCACGTCGCACTGCTGCTGAGTTATGTCCTGAAATTAATTTTTTTGGCAGGATCTATGGAGGGGCGGGCTCGGACGACTGACTGAGCCAGCCTATAGTGTATGATGTATCCGTAGGCTGTACTCTGTAAGGGTAGCAGGAATCCAAATACGCTTCGCCGAGCCTTGGGCCAGTCAGGACAGAAATGTCGGTGACAATAGGTCCGACGATGATGAACGGAATCGAATGTTTTGGGCAAAGACCGGAGCCGTGGTGGGGCACTGACGGTCAAAGACCACTGCAAGGCTCAAGGCTCAAGGCTCGTCGTTAGCAGTGTTTGGGGGACAGACAAGTCATCATCGAAATAATTGCAGTGGGAAGAAGTGAAAGCAAGGGCCTAGGCTCCTAACAAAGCAACAACTTGACAAGGCTTATCAATCATGTCCCTAGCATGGGCCGTGCTGAAGCTGCAAGTATCCTGCGTTAAGGGAATGATGTCGCACCGCACTGAGGTGGGCTGTCAGTGAGGGACCTCAGTGAGGGACCAATTTCTCAAAGAGCCCGCAGTCCAATGCACGGTCCATGTGTGCCCGCCTGTTGAGGGGCTCCATCCAAAATAATAACTGATTCCCCAAGGCTCAATCAAGTTCCATGGATGGACGGATGGAGAAGTGCACACTTTATTGTCCTATGAGCTAAGTTGTTCGCTCGCTCGCGTCCCTCATGGCCCATGGAGACCCGACATCGCCATCCTCTACCTCTTCCTTCTTCTCTGCCTGCCTCTGTCTGACACTCTCGTCCCTCTACACCCGCCTGAGTGTTCCCTTTCTTGAATGTCTGCTTTGGGTGGCGCATTGCTCGTCGCTCCTTCCTTCCGACCCTCCGCCCAATGTTCTTCTTCCCGACTCCCTCATCACCCCGATTACGTGCCACCACAAGCCTTGGACCCGACGACGCCGCTGCCGCTGCCCCGATCCCACCACCATTGTCGCCTTCACCCTTTGGATCCCGACGACCTCGCCTCCCAAGTTATGGATCGCGCGCACATTCAGGGACTGGTCTTGAGAGCGTGTGAGCACAGCACGTAGCTTGGGCTCTTCATTTTTGTCCCATTCCTGAATTTTTGGAGTCCCGCACCTTCCACAACAACAAACCACCCCATCGCGAAAATAATCGCAACACCATCAACACCAAAATTCCACCCCCAATCATCAACTCCAGGACCCAGCTCCGCCATTCGCCAACATGGCGGAACATGTTGAGGCTGCAAAGCAGGCATGGCAGTAAGTAGCCAATTTCCCCTCTTGCTCACCTCGAAATTTGGATTGCGCCAAGCATTGCCTCTGTCATATTCAGTTGGGCGTTTCGGGTTCCATGCGACTCCGGGCACCTACCTTCCGATGCTGACTTTTGACCACAGCCAAGCCCAAAAACTTCGGAAGCACCTGCAGAAGGAGGTGGACAAGCTCAAGGGAGATGCCGACGGCAATGAGCTGAAGCATTTCGAGGTCCTGGAAAGCGTCATTTCCAAGTATGCAGCGAATCCGGCCCAATTTACTGGGTCGTAGTACCCTGCTGACCTGTGTTTAGCCTCCGACTAGCCTGCCTCCATGTCATATTCCATGACTTCGAATATTCCGCGGCCGAGAAGGTGGAAGCCAACCTCTGGCAGGCCCACGGTCTTGTCAATACCGAATATCGAAAGGTTCTGGGCAAGCTGAGGTCGTCACAACTTGCCGTCCAGAAGCGCAAGTTGGACAGGATGTACAGCGGGTTCCTCAAGACGGCGCAAAAGTTCTACGTGGCGTTCGTCCAGCGCATGTCAGCCGTCTACCCGATTCCCGAGCTTCAGCGCATTGCTGAGGGCATCAAGGCCGAAAAGTTGGCAGAGGAGAACCCCATGGCCAACACTACGCCTGCCGTTCGCCAGATTATCCTCAAATACGTTCATCTGGTGCTCATCCACTTAGGCGACCTTTCTCGATACCGTATGCAGGCGCGACACAAGGTCCCGAGCTACGAAGCTGCCTTGACATACTACTCTCTCGCCCACGACATCCTTCCCAATTCCGGCTTCGCCCACCACCAGATGGGCATCATCTACTTGGATGAGAGAAAGCACCTGGATATCATATATCACTTCTACCGCGCCATGGCAATTCAAGACCCTCATCCAATGGCGGCACAGAACCTTGAATCGGAACTGAAGAGCCTCTCAGCGCCAACCACGCCGGCCCGTCGCACAGGTCCTCCTGACCCTCAGGAGGCCTTTGTTACCTGGTTCGTAAAGCTACATTCACACTTCAGCAAAGGAGAGCCGTTTCCTCAACATGAGGGGCTGGAGAAGGAAGTCATCAACCATCTTGAGATGGCCATCAAGGCTCCAAACACTCAGCCAATCCTTTTGAAGATGGTCTTGCTCAACATGTCTGCATTCTATGTCTACAACAACAAGGCGAAAGGTACGTGATTTTCATTGTTGAACTTCGCAGTTTATTCACTAACTCACAGCAGGCGACTGGGCTACCGCTGCGTTTCGAACCTCTCAGTTTCTTCTTCGCCTGAACGCTCGTTTCTTCATGACGTTTTGCAAGTTCCTAAAGAGGGAAATGGAGAGACTCATTGAGCAACAAGCAAACGGCGAACAAGTGAGCTCTGAAGACCAAGCAACCATGATGACGGAGAACACTCTTCCCTTTGTGCGCCTATATGCGGCCTGGCTTGTTGCATGCCGTGTTGAGATTGTGAACGCTCAAGAAGCCCCTGAGCTGTCCATCAAGGACATGTACACAGGGTTCGCTAAGGCACTCACTTCTCTCTGTGAGATGTATGGCAACGAGGATCTCAAACTCACTCCATACTTGCTTCCAGAGGACCAGGAAGCCATAGGAATGCTCCCTCTCTGCGACACAAGGTTGCCGGACAGTTGCCGTCTCAACTACGATGAGGATACTGGAAGTCTGAAGCCTCAAATCCAACACTATGGCGGGCAGCGTTTTGGCCCTCTCCAAGAGATCTTCTCTAGGGTGCTGCAGACGATCAAGTGTGGTTTCTTCCTCGCCAATGATGACACCAACTTTCCATTCTCCTACACTTCATCGCCAAGGGGGCTTACTTTCAAGTACGAGGATAACTACACGCCAAAGTCTTCAGCGGTTGCAACAGCTTCCCAGCCTCCAGTTGAGCAAAGCTCTGCAGTGGAAGTTCCAGCGGCGAAACGCAAAGATTCGCGGCGGCCAGGCCCTGTTAGAAACGCGACCCCGACTGCTGCATTGCCTATAACGCCCCAAGTGGCTGCCCCGCCGCAGGTGCAGTCGCACCTAACTCCCGGACGCAGCAAAGCGCAGGGCCAGTCAGACTACGACTTCCTGAGTTCTGACGCTGATATGCTTCACATGGTTAATGACTTCCTGATGCCTCCGCAGGCTCACGCCTCTCCCGCAGGGAGCCACGAGGACACCTCGTACGGAATGAATTCAGCCATGGCCAACGAGGTATTTGGTGTCCCCCCGACCAACAGCCCGCCCGCTCTCGGATCCGCCACAGCAAAGACATTCCCGAGCCTTCCCTGGAACATGATCTACACCCCAACTCCCCAGGGTAAGAACCAAGAGCTGACGCCACCAGACCGTGCCATCAGGGATGCTGCTAGAAGATCATTCGATGGCACTGCTGGCATGCAGAGGACTGGCCAGACCTCGGGTACACCGAGACTTGACGATCCATTCGGAGAAGCACGAGAGAACCCGTATATGGCTCGGCAGCAACAGCGTCCGTATGCTAGTACACCCGACATAAGTGCTCATCAGGACCGCCTTCTGCAGGCCTTTGGCAGGCAACCCACCGACTCGAGATCCTTGAGCCGTGATTTCTCAGGATCGGGAGGATATGGACTGTGGCCGAGCCCGTACGCGGAAGTCAACCCCAATGCTCTGCAGCCCAGAGCGGCAGCCGCCCACGCCCGTTCGTTGAGCGGATCTCGTCCTCAGTTCCCCCAGAGCCCCAACATGCCTGTGAGCGGAGACAGCTTCTCGCCGGCGTCTGGCACTCAATTCTCCAACGTCAGCAGCATCTACCAGAGCACGCCGTGTAACGGTATCGCGTACACCGCAACTACTGCGTTTGGACGAGGCCCCATCGCCGACATGCACGAGGACCCCACGCACTACAAGAACATGGTCAGACAGAACGGAGGTGCCGCTACTGACGGATACACGGCCGGATACAACGACATGATTCTCCAGTCGGCTATGGCTGACGAAGTTAAGCGTGCTCCGGGCCAGAACATGCGTCGTTGAGTTTTGCGGACCCAAAAAGAAAAAAAAACCAGGACCTTGTTTCCTGATCAAACATTATTATCACAAGGCCTGCCCGGCCCGCCCGGCGGCTTGATTGGAAGTTGAACACATCCCATTTGCTACTGCGATGTAAGTCTATCAATCGTTTCTTTCTACAAGTGTACACCGCTGACCTGAATTTTCAGCGATATGGATCGCATGATTGAATTATACTGGCTCATACTACTGTTTTGAACGGATTTCACTGGACACGACACGAAGGGGATGGATTCTGATCAAGGGTGTCACCTGGGCTGGGTTTTCTTGTCCCGCCGAATCGTCTCATCACATTGTTTTCTACCAAATATCTCATGACCCATGGGCTCAAGGTCGTAAAAGGTGTCGAGCCCAGATTGCAAGTTGATGCAAAGTGCGATTGCCACTCATTTGAAAGCTCCCTCAGGAGCCAACGCCGTTGTTGAAACCGTTTTCCCTTTGACCCCCTCAACGCCAGACTATTCTGAACAAAAAGAAACTGAAATGCTCAATGCATTAGGTTGAAAGGCTTCGTGCCTACGAGGAATAAGCCTGCTTGGGGAAGGGGTAGCTAGTTCATAGTTAGCGAATGAAGCGAGAAAGTTTGACAAAGTTTGCCATTTGGTGTCGTGTGATATGATAGGGGGGTCAACTTACGAAGGACCAAGCTCCTGGATGCTGAGCTTAGCCAGCCACTGGCCCATATCGATGGACTGGTCGAGCGACTTGCCATCGACGACACCAGCCATCAGACCGCCAGCAAAGGCATCACCAGCTCCGTTGGTGTCGTTGATCTGCTCCTTGGAGATGGGCTTGACGGGGTACTCCTTAACGCTGTCCTCACCCTGGACGGCAACCAGAGTGGGCTCGGTGCCCTGGGTGATGATGGCGACACGCTTGCGCTGCTTGTTCTCCTTGGGCAGGTTGGCGAGGGCCTTGGCGATCTCCTTGAGGTCGGCGGTGCCGAGGCTGTGGGCTTCGGCGTAGGCAGCAGCCTCGGTCTCGTTGCCGATGACATAGTCCCAGTACGGGGCGCTGGCGTCGAGGGGGTCCTTGAAGAACTGGCAGATGAAGGGGGCGGACAAGCTGACGGCGAAGACCTTGTTGTTCTTGGCGGCCTCCTCGGCGAGCTTCTGGATGGCGGCGGGGCAGACGGTGAAGTGGTAGCCTCCGATGTAGTAGGCCTGGGCGTTCTCGACGAGCTTCCAGACGTCGGGGCGGGTCAAGTGCTCGAGGTCGTAGTGGTTGGCGGCACCGAGCTCGGTGACCATGGAGCGGTTGTGGCCGGTGATGACAACACCGCAGCGGCCGGTGGCGATCTTGGGGTCGACGCGATACTCGACGCGGAGACCGGCGGTCTTGACGGCATCCTGAAGGATGGAGGCGTACTTGTCGTCGCCGACACCGCCGAGGTAGACGACGGAGTTGGGAGGGAGGATGTACTGGGCACCGCGGGCGGTGTTCTGGGCGGCGCCGCCGGCAATGAGCTTGGCGTCGTAGTTGTTCAAGAGGTCCTCGTAGATGCCGAGGTGCTTCTCCTCAGCGAGGATAGCATCGTTGGCCTTGATGCCATACTTTTCGAGGAGAGCCTCGTCACCGACTGCTTGGATGTCTGTGTTGCGGTGTTAGTTGACGACATTTTGCTCCAGCTCGGTGTTAAGGGAGGGGTTAGAGCGACAATGGCGGGGTCGCGCAACGGTGTTCCCGGTGCTTTAAGCTTAAAACCCATTAAAAAACCACTTACCAAGCAGAGGGTTCTCAAGGCAGAGAAGACGGAAATCCTGGGATGCCATTTTGTTCAATTGATGTGTTCTGGGGTGTATGGATGAGGTGTGGAAGGGATGAAGGTTGTGGGAGCTTCCAAAGATTTTGATTTTGGTGCTCCGTCGGCCAGTTTTGGATGAGGGGATGCCGATGGTGGGGTTGCTGGACCTGTCGGAGGAGGTGGGGTGGTAGGAGAAGAAACGTGCTCGCACAGCAGGGCGAGAACTCTGACTGGGAGCCTGTGGACTTGGAGGGGCGTGGGCAGGAGCTCGGGCTGAGGGTGCTGTCGCTGCCGATGATGATGAGAGGACAAGGGCAGCAGGGATGGTGGGGCAAGGGCGAGTAGCAAAGGTTCTCGTCACTGTTGCATTGAGGGAACTGGTGGACGTGCAGCGTTGAGTGAGACATCTCGAGGCGGTGACTCTCTGGCAAGCGAACATTGTTGTGTGCGAGCGAGTGATGGGGAGTGAAGTAATAAGAAGCTTGAAGCAAGAGGGATCGGGAATCGACCTCAAATCACCGTGATTTTGGAGGTTCTATCAAGGATGGATCAAAGATTAAGTCTCGTAAGACCGAGTCAGGGTGGGAAAGCGCCGTTTTTGGTATTTGGGCTGTCATATCATCAGGCCACTCGCTGAATGAAGGAGTGTCACGAGACAGGAGCAGCTCCTCAGTATAAATTTTGAATCGATCAATTGAAAGAGGAAACCACAACTACGTATGGTAGCCGGGCTTAGGAGGAAAGATCCAAGGCCACTTTCCCCCTCACTCCATTTGCTGTCCCTAACACCGTTTTTTGTTCGTCATCCACACACAAACTCCCGGCGTCTCACTCATCACATTTGGGTTTGGCGTTCTCCTCTCCCTCTTGTAGCGGGGGGAATCATGGCGTGATCATTCAATGCGCAAAATGCCTTTTAGTACTTGCCGAAGAGCTACCAGATGAACTGCCCTTGCGAGTACCCTCAAAAGATGCCAGCCGCGTAACACCATCCCAATGGAACCCTGAAATCCAGCCAAACTATGACCTTTATTCCTTGACCTTCTGGGTACCACGGAGCAGACCCGTCCGTCTCGCAGCAATAAGACCGGCCTTTTGTCCCTGGACGGCGTAGCGGGAGATGGTCGAGGCCTTACCGATATGCTGGTGGTTACCACCACCGTGGGGATGGTCGACGGGGTTCATGGCAACACCACGAGTTCTGGGCCAGTTGGCACCACGCTTGACGGCGAATTTGTGCTTGGCGCGAGAAGCCTCTGTAGGTATTGGTTAGTCAAATGCTTTCCCCAACTTCATCCTATGGTTGCTCTCATCCTTCCGCAACCAGGGGCCAAAACGTACTCAGGAGGGGCTTGTCGGTACGGCCACCACCGGCAACAATGCCGATCATGCCGCGGGCCTCGGAGTGGACAACCTTCTTGGCGCCGGAGGGAAGCTTGATGCGGGTCTTGCCCTCATCGGGGTTGTGGCCGACAATGGTGATGTAGTTGCCGGAAGTGCGGCCGAGAGTGCCACGGTCACCGATCTTGGTCTCGACGTTGGAGACGACGGTACCCTCAGGCATGGAGCCGAGGGGAAGAACGTTGCCGACGGTCAGGGCGGCCTTCTTGCCAGCGTAGATGAACTGGCCGGTGTACATGCCCTCGTTGGCGATGAAGGTCTCGGTGTGCTGCTTGAACTTGTAGGGGTCGCGGAAGACGACCTGGGCGAGAGGAGCGCCACGGCCGGGGTCGTGGATGATGTCCTTCACGATACCACGAAGGTATCCGTGTCTCTCGGCATAGTCGAGGTTGCGGAACTTCGCGGGGGCCTGCACAGAAAATCGTTAGGAAAAATTGTCGTCGTATCGCGAATTTCGGGAATGTCGTATCTCACCTTGTTCAGGCGGGTGTTGGCCGTGAAGATCGAGCCACGACCTCTTCTCTGGTTACGGATCTGAGGAAAAGTATATCAGCGTCTGTTGTCCAATCCCTTGTCCATCTCGGAAAAAAAAAAGTTCGCGGGTTTCGATTTGGTGGAATATGGAATGCGACGAGCAGCAAGTCGATGATGCGCCAATGTCGTTCTGCGAATAAAACATCGAGTGTTGGATAGAGCAATCACTTACAACGCGACCCATCTTGGCAGTCCTCTGGCGTTCGGAGGGCTAGGTGTTGTCGTCGTGGTGAGGTTGAATCGTCGAATTCCGTCAACAAGCAGGATGGCTCAAATTTCGGAAACTGCAGTGGTGCGTGGGACTTCCTGTCCAGCCCTCCTCGCTTGAGCACGTGTTGTATCACGTGAAGAGAAATCCATGGGAGATTGCCCAAAATTTTGACAGAGCACGGACGGGAGAATGGAGCGGTGTCCACAGGGGTAGACCCACAGACCAAGTACTGCTTGGCCACTCAGTCTCGACCCCAGGGCGTTTGTACCGCGTCACGACCTCCGCACTTTACCCTCACCTCTGGAACGTCTTACTATGGCTTCAGCAGGCTAAGTTCACGATATCCTCAGCGCCGTCATGATGAGCAGTGTTTCTCGCTCATTATGAGTCAACCTGAAAATGCACGAAAGACATGAAACCTTTTGAATATACGAGCACTTACTTCTGCTCGACGAGGTGTCCTCATTCCCTTTGCTATCTACTGTTTTTTCCCTCGTGGCCGCATTTTCTGATGCTCTGTCAGGTCTGCCGTGTTCGATCGGTGTTGGCGCGTTTTGTGGGCAGGTCATGTTTGGGGTCCTCGGAAGGGAATTCGGTGAGGTTACAAGGACCCCGGAGTCTTTGGTGCCTTGGTGTGGTCCAGCGATCAACGTCATCGGAATCTTCGCCGGAGTCGGCGAAGGCCGTTCCTCGCGGGAGTGCATCGTTGCGTCCAACTTATCTTGTTCTTAAAGGGTCTCCGTGTAACGGTTTGGCCAAGTAGGATCCAATATGCGGGAGCGCATCACTGCAAGTGTTCGCTGTGGTCCCGTCGCCTCTAGTGAGGTGTCTATGTTGGTGACTACAGGTCACGGGCTCGCCGAAATCGATGAATCGGCGTTTTCTCGTCGATGTTGAAAAGGAGTATCCTGTAGGATTGCAGCCCATTCACATTTACCACATATAGCCTTATTCACGCATATACAGGAGGCAAGATCATATCGGAGATGGAATCAACACCAAAACGCTGTGGATGGCCTCATTTCAAGCGTTGGGAATATCTGCAGACGCAAAGTAGCGTAGGCGGGCGATCATCATAGCCTGGTTTAGTCTTTGCTGATTTGGCTGAGCTGCATAGTCATGTGACGTGTGTGAGGGACTCTGCAGTGGTCGGGAACGAGTTGGGAATGCAATGCAAGTGCTAGGCAGACCCCAACGGGACTACAACCAGAAGGCAAACCTCTTCATCGACACGTCGAGCAATGACTCCAAAACGCATGAAATGCTGGAGAGTTTTGATGAGCTTTCGGTACGCTGTAAGTCGGTCGCCGCAGTGACCAGCAGGCCAAAGCAGGTAGGTGGAGTGAAAGGAAGCTGGGTCTCTGCGACAAAGGCACCATGCTACCAACCCAGTGGTTGGGAATAGCATCAACAACAGAATGCGTCAACTTGAAGAGTGGGCAATGGTGGATTGCTTCTCGGCCGAAGGATGTCTTAGTCTGCGCGGTCACTTTCGTCCCTAGTCTGCACCATGGGATCCACCTGTCAGCAGACAAGCTTCACAAGTCCACAACGATTCGATTAAGACGACAACCTGAATGAGAGACATCGAATGCGATGGCTTTGAGGTTTCTATGGTGGTACTCAGCGAGAGAAGCTGAGCTACTTTTCGGTGCTAAGAAGAAGATTTAGTAAGGCAAGGTAGGCCAGGATATCCCACGGTAGCTCCTTGGGTGGGGTACAGGCGACGTGGGTTCTCCAATGCCTTCGAGGGCAAGATGGGACTCAAGAAGCACAATCCACAAGAGGTTGGCCAGGCACATGTCAAGCAGCAAGCGGCAGGCAGCATGAGTAGGTAGGCAGAGAGTTGTGTGAAGGGGGATGCTCATCGGGTGCAAGGCCATGCTATGAGTCTTTGACACATGAGAAGGGGAATATGCGAAGAGGAATGGAAGCCGTAGGTATTTTAGATTTTAATGACTCGGGCCTATCAGAGAACCAGACCGAAAGGAGAGGCGGCTCAAACGTGACTTAATTAGTCCCGCGGGTGGGCGCTCGAAACTTTCTCTCTCAACTACACCGGCGCGCATACCACCACCTCCACCAACCGCGATACCCACCCCAACCCAACTTCGACAAAAGCACTCGCGCACACAGCAACCACAATCGCGAAGAGGAAAATAATCGCCAAGATGTCCGACGACGATTCTTCGGATTTGTCTTCGCTATCTTCGTTGTCGCCAGTTCCTTCCGACATCGAATCTGAAGCCGAGCCTGAACCTGCGACGAAAGGTGACATTCGGAAGTTCTTCCCCAAGCTTGCCAAAGGCAAGAAAGCTATCGTCGCGACCAAAGAGCCCTCGCCACCGCCTCGCAAGCGATCGCCATCACCTCCACACGAGAATGCCTTCATTGACAATCCAGACATTGCTGTATGCACATCATCGCGTCGTTTCGCGCAAAAAAAAAACGCGTAGAACCGCGTGTCCCACGTCATAGGACAAGCTAACACGCACCTCCAGTTTCTGGTGATGTTCCGTAGCCGATTCAACGATGCCTTCCCGAAATCCTTGGCCAACTTTGGTCCCCAAGAGCTCGAACAAGATATCATTGGCAGTCCGCCTGGCGAACGAGTCGAAGCTTTTCTGTGCGCTCTACTGTTCCTGCTCTTGAACCGAAAGCAGGACGTTAAGTACGTCGACGCGACAGCAAACAATATGGTCCTCTAGGGTTGCTAATTGACGTGATAGGGCCGGTCAATACTCCAAGGCTCTCGACGACGCTCTTTCTGCCCACAAGTCCCAGTGGCCACGATCATGGGAAGGAGTCAACCCACTGTCGGGTAGCAACACTTTTCACAGCATTACACCCACTCAGAGAGTAAGTAGCGGAGTGCTCCTGACTTGCCTGTGCACCAATTCACTAACCAACTGGTACAGCTCTCTCTTCTCCGTGCGTTTGCATTGTGGTCCCTTTCAGCATCCGAGACTGTCAAGACCATCATCAATAAATCCTACAAAGGAAATCGTCACGATGACGACTTGAACCAGCCACTCTCTGTCCAGTCCTGGGGTTCAGACAGTGACAAGAGACGGTACTTCTTGATCGAAGGCTTGGACGATACTGCTTTCCGCGTATATCGGGAAAGTAACCCTGCTGGCTTTAACCGCACTTGGTGGTCAGTAGCTGGATCGATCGACGAGCTCAGGGCCCTATGCGAGAAATTGGAGAGTAAGGACGGCGGCCCCAAGGCCAGGAAGCTTGCAGATAAGATGCTGGCAGCTATTCCTCGCTTTGAGGGTACTGAGGAGGTAAGCATCTATAATCGGATTTCGGTCCAGTGTGACAAGGTATCGCTTTGAGCCACGACTAATCGTCGCAGAAACGACGTCGCAGAGAGTATCGACAGGCACAGAAAGCCCGCTTCAAGCGTCCCGAGCCTGGTTTCTCTTCCTACGAAGGTCGCACGAGAGGCAAGCGAATCAAGTACACATACTCCGATGATGAGGACTTCCTTACCGACTCGTCCAACCGGCGCTCGGCGCGCAATACTGGGACGAGCACCCCCCTGGAGCCAGCAGGGCCAGTGACCACCGCCAGCGGTCGTCAAATCAGAGCTCCACCACGAATGAATGGCAGCAGCGCAGCAGGGAGTGTCAACGGCGACTCGGAGGATTCCCGCCAGCCATCAGAGCCGGCGGCTGGCCCTGGAGGCCGGCCACGCAGAGCCGCAGCAGTTCACCACGGAACCAACGGATGGTCATCTAAAGGCACTCGGACTCGTGGACGTGACTCCATGGATGAAGACGAAGACGACGACAGCGAGCCTGACTTGGGTGACGACGAAGAAGAGGACCATGTCCCAGATGAGAGTGAGGAAGACGATGATGAACCAGACGAAGACGTGGATATGGCAGATGATGACCTCGTCGATGAACCTCGAAAGAGCTTGATCGTAAAGCTGTCGGTGAAGAAGTCCCCTACCACGACGAAAACGGCTATGATGACTCCTGGTCCAGAGGATGAGAAGGCCTCAATGAGAGATGACGAAATGGTTGACGAGATTGTTGCCAAACCCAGAGAAGCGACTCCGGAGCCCGTTATCAACGTTGCGACCACGAAACCGCCCCTGAGTCCGACCGCTGTGCAGACCTCCTTGGCCTTTAGAGGAAGCCCGGATAAGCTGCAAAGCATGCTGCAACAAGTAGATGTTGGTGTGCGCGAGTAGGGCTCACTGGGAACCGGCTACCACAAGTCCTTTGGCGTTTGGCGGTAAATTTTGGCAGGCGGAGTACGGATAGGGATAGACGATGGGAACCATCGGGATGATTGAACAATTATTTGTAGGAGCATTCGCTCATTCATAGACGGTACTACGGCTAGTACTTTCGGGGGATATGCGCATCACCAGATGCAACGGTACTAAAAAAGTACCTGGCTTGCAGAGATACTCTGCTTCGATTTTAGTTGTACAGATACCACACCAATCATGTTTCCTGACCCTTTCCTTTTCTGTGTTCCAGTTCCTCACAGCTCCTTCTTTGTGAAAGCAGTCCTCCAGTTTGAGCTCTTCTGCGGGGGCAGCTGCCAGTTATTCACACCATACCACCATCGCCGGACCCTGGCACCTATCGAGCTGCCGTGGACCTGCGCATTCTTATTCCAGTGATGCCAGCCGATGAGGAACAAGTTGTAAACGACACCTTGGACCAAGGGCATCATCACCTACATCGAATCAGTACAGATTCCGACCGCGGCCAGATGTGCCTGAACAACCTACCTGATCCCTGGCAGTGATCCAGGCCACCCGCCCCCAAGTATCGGCTTTGGAGATGCTGTTTAGGTAGCTCTGCTCGAAGCGCAGGTCGGGCATGGGCGGAAGTTTTGCTGTGCGCGGCTTCGAGTTCACCACGCTGCGGGGGATGTAGTCGTCGAGCTCATCATCATCGAGATCGTCATGGACGGGTTCTAATGTCACTGGCTCCTTCTCAGAGGCTGCTGTGGAAGGGTTGAGGTCGTGACTCGGGGAGGGCGCCCGGTTGATGTGGGCGGTCTGTATCGTCTCCGCGATTTGAATGGGTACGGAGGAAGCCATGTTGTGAGTCTGTCGGGATGGGTATGTGGCGGGCAGGAGCTACAGAAGGCGATGGCTTGCGCTGCGACTTCGGGAAGCTCTCGAGGGGACGGGGCGCGTTGGGAGGTTGCGATAAAGTTAGCTCGTTAGTTGCATGACTAATGGTTACTGATCAACCCAGTACACGGGATGACCCTCTACACCTTTACTTGCATGGCGGATCCACAGCTGAGGTCATCAGCCGTTCCTCAAAGCGAGCGGTATCCGTACCGACGCTGAAATTCAGTGGCCCAACTTTTCAGCGGCACAAGATCGAGTGGGGTTGAATGGGCAACTAATACTGCACATGGCTTTGTCTCACACAGTTTGCCTAATTTACCGGGCTGCAGTCTGCCTATTTTTCAGAATATCGTTGAACGAGATTACATAGATGCCTAAGATTTTCTACTTCAGTGACTCACACAGTAGTCATTGCGCTGGTGATGGTGTACAATAAGTGTCAGAAGTGCCCAAATTCCAAAGATTTGCGGTGTTGAAGATGAACCATGGGGCGAGCGGCTCCGGCAAAACACGGTGGTACGTGCAAAGTTCGGGAGCTGAGTGGCTAAGGTAGACACTTAGAGTGTCCAGGCAGTAGGCACCTTATGACTCGCTTGCGGTTTAGCGCCCTACCCGGCTTGGGCGTACTTGTACACCCAGTCAGAGCCGGATCCTGGTGCGGCCCACGGTGACGGCACAAAAAATCGACCTACCTACGTGGAGCAACAACTTTTCTTTCCTTGCAACCACCCGACCGCATCGCATCGCATCGTTCCCGCCCGGAGAATCGCGCGACGTCGACGACAAATCCCTCACCGTTACGCGAACGCGTTCCTCCATTTTGTCGTTCCTCGAGTCTCTTAATCACCCTCATTCAAGATGTCGGACCCCCAGGCGAACGAGGCCGAGAAGAACGTGAGTTTTTTCCCGTATTCCAACATCGTGGCCTCGGAGCCCCTCCTTTTTTTGCCCCGCGCTCCGAGCATGCAGGCTGACGATTCCCCTTATGGGGTGCAACACAGATCGAGATATGGAAGGTCAAGAAGCTGATCAAGCGCCTCGAGGCCGCTCGTGGTAACGGCACTTCTATGATCTCGCTCATCATTCGTACGTTTTTCTTTTTCCGACCACGATGCCATCGCCGACGCCGGGTTCGACTAACACCCCACCACAGCCCCCAAGGATCAGATTTCCAGAGCCGCCAAGATGTTGGCTGAAGAATACGTACGTCACGACTGCGACAATCGGACACTTTACGGGCCAAACCGGTATTAACGAGACTTTTCACAGGGAACTGCGTCAAACATCAAGTCTAGAGTTAACAGACAGTCAGTGCTTTCGGCCATTACCTCGACCCAGCAGCGTCTCAAGCTGTACAACAAGGTCCCTCCCAATGGCTTGGTCGTCTACTGTGGTGAAATCTTGACCCAGGAAGGCAAGGAGAGAAAGGTCAACATCGACTTCGAGCCTTTCAAGCCCATCAACACCTCCCTCTACCTCTGTGACAACAAGTTTCACACCGAGGCTTTGGCCGAGCTGCTCGAGTCGGATCAGAAGTTCGGTTTCATCATCATGGACGGTAACGGAGCCCTTTTCGGAACCCTTTCCGGAAACACCAGAGAAGTTGTGCACAAGTTCTCTGTCGATCTTCCCAAGAAGCACGGCCGTGGTGGTCAATCCGCTCTGCGTTTTGCTCGTCTTCGTGAGGAGAAGCGTCACAACTACGTCCGCAAGGTTGCCGAGTTGGCCGTCCAGAACTTCATCACCAACGACAAGCCCAACGTCGCTGGTCTGATTCTGGCTGGTTCTGCCGATTTCAAGACTGATCTCAACGCCTCCGACCTGTTTGATAACCGTCTGGCCACCAAGGTCATCAAGGTTGTTGACGTTTCCTATGGTGGTGAGAACGGTTTCAACCAGGCTATTGAACTTTCCTCCGAGACCCTCGGCAACGTCAAGTTCATCCAGGAGAAGAAGCTCATTGGAAAGTACTTCGAGGAGATCAGCCAGGACACCGGTCGTGTCTGCTACGGCATTGAGGATACCCTCAAGGCTCTGGAGCTGGGTGCCGTGGAGGTTCTCATTGTTTTCGAGAACTTGGAGATTACCCGCTGGAAGCTTAAGGACAGTCAGGGCGCTGAGCACACCTTGCACACCACCAAGCAGCAGGAGGGCGGTGACCGTGCCATCTTCATGGACAAGGAGACTGGCCAGGAGATGGAAGTTGTCACCCAGGAATCCTTCCTCGAGTGGATTGCAGAGCACTACAAGGACTTCGGTACCAACCTCGAGTTCGTCTCTGACCGTTCCACCGAGGGCAACCAGTTCGTCAAGGGCTTCGGTGGTATTGGTGGTATTCTCCGCTACAAGGTGAACTTTGAGCAGTTGAATGAGGTTGACGACGACGATGACTACTACGACGGTTCGTGATCTCCCAGTACCTGACTCACCAACTACAAGACGCTGACGTTTCTAGATTGACCAACCGAGGCCCTCGAGAACGAGGGATCGACTCAAGTACCGTCTCTGAAGCATAACAGCGAAGAGGAATTCGCGCGCACAGCGTCGCAGCCCGCGCCCGCGCCCAAGCCGAATGTCGCCCATCAGCTCCTTGCAGACAGGAGCCCGATGAGCCCGGCTCACCTCACCCACCAAGTGGCGCGCCCGAGCCCGCTTCGGTCTGTTATGAAGGCCTCTTGAGTTGAGACCTAGTCTACATGTGAGACCATGCTCTTAGCCACTACAGGAACTGTGCAACTAACAAGTGTGCTAGATGATCCTCTCACAGACAGAGGACACTCAAGAGCGGTCGGGAGGCGACCGCTTGTTGATCGCGACTAGATAGAATGAAAATGAAATTAAATGCCCACCCAGTCCTTTCAGGCTTGTTCAGGCTTGTTCAGGCTTGTTTATGAAATGTGAAAGATGCTTTGTTCCACGTTCCGCAAGGCATGCTGTGGTTGTGTGACTTGCCACCCCAGCTCTTGCACCTAGATGCATCAACCTTGGAAGCTGCTCTTGTTCTCACCTGAAAATGACTTCACCAAAGTACATTCAAAGTCGCGCTCCTTACAGTAAGCCATTGGTGCGACTTTCATACGGTTTCTTGGATGCTTGCTCAAGGCGTTCTTATCCGATATGCGACTATAACCTATCAACCGGTTATATGCATATCTATGCCCATCTCACTCGGTCTCGTAACATTTCACTTACTGAGAGATGTGTGTATAAGTCGTCAATGCCAACTTCGATATGAGACCTCTGATTCCCGGTATTCATGCCTTGCGCCGGGGACTCGCAACCCAAGATGCACCCTCATCAATAGAGGCAGGAATCGCCAGAATCCTGCATACCAGCAAGGAAATTCCAGACCACCTCTCACCAACACCCTCACATCTCCTCAACCTCCTCTTTTCAGACATCCTCACCTCGTCGACCGAATATCCGCCAAAGTACCCATCGTCATCCTCCGAGCCTGCCGCCCCATTGCCGCAAGGCCATCACCTGGCCTATTTCCCCCTCCAATCGCTGCCCTCATGGCTGATGCCAGACGGCACTGATCCGGACCACTGCCCCGGCGCGCCCTTTACGCGGCGACTCTGGGCGGGCGGCGAGGTCCGGTTCCGCGAGGGCTGGGAGGATGAGCTGCGCCTTGATGGGCGGAGGGTCGGCTGCGTCGAGAGCGTGGAGGACGTGAGGGCCGAGAAGGGTCGGGTGTGGGTCGAGCTTTGGCGGCGGTATGGGGTATCTGCTGGTGGTTGTGGTGAGAGCGGTCCGGCGGTTGAGGAAAGGAGGACGCTGGCTTTTCTCCCCGACTTTGATGTTCCTGCTCCAACGCGGCGGTGTTTGAAAGGTAAAAAGAGGTGTCGGCGGCAAGGTTGCCGTCTCATTTCCACGTCGTGGAAAAATGCTTGAAGAATGGAAAAGTACTGACTGAGAATGGACAGCACCGTATAAGCCGACAGCCTCTCTCACTCTTACGCCGACGCAGAATCTTCTCACCAATTTCAGCGCGCTGACGTACAACGCGCACGCGATCCATCTGGACCCGGCGTGGGCTGCGCAAGAGGGTCATCCGGCTACGTTGGTCCACGGGCCTCTATCTCTGGCTTTGATGCTCGCGTTCCTGAACAGGCAGGGTAAGGGGCAGAACGTGCGTTGGTACGGGTACCGGAATCTGGCGCCGCTGTACTGTGGTCGGGAGATGACGCTTTGCCTGCGAGAGAAGGGGGAGAGCGAGGGGGGAGGAAGTGGGATGTTTGGATTGAGGGTGCCGATGGAGGTATGGCGGTTAAGGGGACCGCTACGACTGTCGATGGTGTTTGAAAGAGCAGCGATGGGCCGTTGGCACGGAATATGTATGGCCATGGCAAGAGGAAATCCGGATAAAAATCTGCCTTGATTCATATCAAGCTTCTCAATTATGGTTTGAGGCCTTGGAAACGCTTTTCCCAACGTCTTGCTGTGGTTTTCTCAAAAGCAAGGGTAAAAGAATTACATTCATGAAAGCCAAACAATTAATAATGTGACACTTGTATCCTCAATGCATCGTGTTCTTCCGTCCCCACACCGGCCCGCTGGCATCTAGAACGCCGTTGTCATTCACTCAACCAAGCTCTACTGGGCTGTTGCCGCTGTTGACAGTGTTTCTCGGCGGCGGCGGCGGCGGCGAAGGCGTCAGGTACGCCTCACTCAGAAGAGAAGACGAGGCTGCGGATACAGAGTGGTATTTGTATCGCTCCTCATGGCCAGGATATCGAGACTGGTTGTCCAAAGGAATGGATACCTCTGGTTGAGAGGACAATTGAACCCTCTGAGTCGGATTCTCTGACGATGATGTTGAACCACGGGCCCTCGATGCTCGTCTCTTTTGTACAATAAGCCAAACAACGACGCAGACCCCAATTACCACCGCGACCATGCCCCCAACAGCGCCGCCAACTATTGCAGGTATTTGGGATGCAACATTCGGTGGCGGCGTTGAAGGTTTCGGCTCTTCTTCGATCAAGATTGATGAAGACGGAGAGGACGATGTAGATGAGAGCAGGGTAGTATCTGTTCTAGACGTTGTGATAGTGGCGGATGTTGTTTTGGCCTCGAGGAACTTGCCCTCGGCTGTTTGTTGGACTAGATCTATGCTCGTTTGTCCGCGATGCTCTTTGAGCTGGCATCCAAGGTACAAATTCCAGCTGCTCGTGTCGATTTCTTTATAATATGTTACACACTTCGGAAGCCAGACACCGCTTGACCTGCTAGAGACGAGTCTGTCAGTTATGTACTCATTCCTGGGGGACGAGTCGTAGACAAACCAGCAGCGCGTATTGAGGCCGAGGCTAGTCTTTCATTCGGTGGCCGTCCCATCAAAGCACGTGTCAACATACACACTGCCGCACATCATATAGCCATCGTCAGTCCGACACGGTACCGTAGCGGCGCATCGAAGAGGATATGTTGCTGATGTACCAATGTCAGAATGTGCCTTAAGATTCTGAGCCGCACAGGTCCTATGGCCCCGAAGGAAACGGCTTTGAGTACTCACTCCATGGAAGTGTTATGATCCCGCACGTGTTGCTACTAAGCGTGCGAGCCGCCAATTCCGCTGCCCGCAGATCGAGCTTGTTTCTGGGTGCCGAAGTTGGAGCCGGGGACGACCCGTAGTAGTCATCTTTCGGTGAAAAAGTCTGCCGTGCTATGAGGTTTCTATTCACATTGGAATACTCCGCTGTCGTTGCGGGTAGCCAAATCGCCGCAGCGATGACCACACGAAAAAGAGAGTTCATCACTGAGCTGAGCTGGAGAGAAGGTAGTAGGGCAAGATTTGTGCTTAGACTGGTGTTTGAATAGGTAACACACTCAATACAAGGGAAAACGGCAGTTGTGAGGATGTCAAGTCCTTGGGAAGTAGAGCAGCCTGCCCGGACGCCGTTCAACGCGTAAACTCCTCATTCTTGATATACACCTTCTGGGGGCCGGGCCACCAGAAGGAATCAGGCTGCTGTGTAACTGTCAGCCGCAAATAGCATATTTGAGTAATCGGGAGCTCATTGAATATTCCAATGAAGGCTCGGTCGTGGAAGCCTCTCAATGTCTTGCCAAGGTATGCGAGGCATGCTCCCGGAAGTTATGCTGTCGATGGTTCGCTCATCAACAGTGGCTGCTTATGTTCAAAGAGGGTGTGTAGCCAAAACGATATTGAATACGAGCTGTAGTGCTAACGCCAGAATGGGCAGATGATAAGGCGGAGCGCAGTTAATGATGCCCATGCCTAAGCCAATATACACCTGCTTTGTTGGCCCCAAGTCCCTGTCAAGAGCAGTGTTTGAATCTGTATCAGGTCCTCGCTGTTACATATCACTTCTATCAAATAAACCACAGAAGTCACGAGCAAGTCGAGTCAAGATGATTCCGACAAGCACCGAGGCTTCCTGGCATCGAGGCTCCATCGGCTTCGTCCTCACTTCGCTATTTTTGTATGTGACTGGTAGGCATATATGAAGAAAGAACACAGGCCACTGAACACAGTGGAACAGACGGGACCCCTAACTCCTTCGCTATATGTAGTATAATAATCTGACGACCCCCAAAGTGCAGCCTCACAAACGCCCACTTCATCTTCCGATGGCTCAAGTCCCAAGCTCTGCCGGTCTTCGGTTGTCCACCACGTTACTTCCCTGTACTTCAGCGAGAGGGGTAGGCGAGGGCGTCGGCGCGTGTTGCGCCTTATAAGGGTCCTCTTGCTCTCCATATCCAGCCTGAGAGTAGTATGGCTGAGTCTGCTGCGATTGAGAGCCTGGTGTCAGAGGCACCTGCGACCCGTCGTCCCTCGAGCGTTTCCTCCGCCTCAATACCAACCAGACGATGACGCAGACCGCTATGGCGACCACGGCAACTCCACCGACCACGCCTCCGACGATAGCACCTGTTGAGTTCGAAGAAGAGCCGGACGGAGGTGACGTGGCTGTCGCTGTGTCCGAAGAATCTACGGTCCTGGTCGCGTCTGGGTCGTCGGACTCCGTACCTATCACCATGATCCTTTGTCCACTGTAGGCAGGGTCGCCACATCGGAGCCATGTCTGCTGTCCCGAGTCGTCGGGTCTCAGGAGTGTCAAACAATACGGTAACTGGCTCAGGCCTGATCGAGTGCTGTAAAAAAGTCAGCGCTTGAAGTCGTCGAAGTTTGAGCGCGCAAATGAGCTCAATACTCCCAAGCAGTATTGTCTGAAGGAGATGGAAAGAATTACCAGCAAAGGGCTTTTGCGCCCAGCGAAGAAGTCGTCTGCTGGCAAACAGGCGCGGTCCCATCAAAACACTGCGTCTTGAGGACGTTGCGACATCCAAACCATGGCCCCGAGCTATAACAATCGTTGCTCACGCACGAGAACGTCTCGAACGCTGACAGCAAGGTATCGTCAGTCCAATTCGGTGAAGTGCAGGAGCCATGGGTCTAGACTCACTACCATTATCAAGACGGCGAACTCCACATGCATTGGGAGGAAGACTCCTAGCTTCGAGCATCATCTGCCTTGACTCCTCGCTGGGAGCTGTTGTTGGCGCCGGGGAAAGTCCAGCACGATGCTCTAGGAACCCCATTGCGAGCGTTTGCTGGGGATGTCGCGCTTCAAGGCCCATGGCGAGGTTCAGTGGCAAGAAACCCGCCACTGCGATTAATGAATGGATATAGGACACTGTCGAGCGCATCCAGGCAGTCTCTTTTGTCGTGGATCAAATCTAGAGCCAGCGGCGGACGTAAGACTTCGCGTCTTATTCTCGATGAACGACGACAAAGTAAAAGCGAAGAATTTGTGAAGTCCTAGCAGGGAGCGCAGTTTCCCTACACATCTCACAGAATCCGACACGCGCGGACCTAGACTCCGATTGAGTGAGAACTAATCGCCAATGATTGATTGGTGTCTCTGTCTCACACTCAGCCTCTTCCTGATTGCCCAGCTTGTGAAGTGGTCGTCCAATGAATATCGTGCAGTGCCGATCCCTCGACGTCAATTGCCAGGGGTAATAAGGCAGACTCGAATCTTACCGCACCTAGAACGTAGCATCTCATTTGAGTCTGACCTGCTATTTGCAAGCTAGGTCTTCGATCAGCTCTCTGCGGGCATCTGAGTGGTCATCCAAGCCCGTCCAGCCACACGACTTTGGCCACAACGAGGATAGCCAATGACCAGTTTGATCACGGCCGCTGAGACATTTGAACCGATATCACGGGATCTCGAGTTTTTTTCTTAGGGAGAGATGTCAGCCATGAGATTTCGTAAGGTACTCATGTTGAAATACATGAGTATTAATACACTCAAGAGTCATCGCTCACAAACGATGATTGAGCGGTTTGTGAATCGAAGGGGTTGAAAAGTCGGGAGATGTATTCAACTTTTTCATGTGAACTGCACCAAAGAGACAGGAGTTTAACTGCATGAAATGTCTATTATTTATCGGATCTAATCAAGTTGGCCACGCTCTCAACTTCTCAAGATACCACCACCCGACCTTGAATAGAGCGCTGTAGGCCCCTTCTTGCTGCTGCTCGTGTAGAAGTTTATTGGAGAAAAGGGCTTCAGATGCAGGGCCATTCTCGTCTGTCACCTAAGCTCGAAACCATTGCCAAAAAACCGCGTTGGAGTGCTACCTCCAAATCCCAAAAAGAAGAGAGACATCTCTCCTCAGATGCAACTAAAGAGTGGTTAGTAGCTGGCCGGCGGAATAGTTGCCCATGCTCAACTCACTGTACTTCTGCTTCTTGCAGACTTGCATCAAGGGCCTCCGCAATCTCATAAGGACTGCCAGTTGCTCCATGTGGTTATTCGCCATTGTCGTCTCCATTAGACCAAATTCCAATGAGTCCAGTATCCTGCGTAGGTGAAAGTATCTTCAAGTGTTGTCTGACCTGTCTAGAGGTCCTCAATGTGACCCTCTATGACGGTGTCTTCAATGTCAGAAGTCTGAGCCATGATGCCAGGATCAGAAAGAGCGCCGGTCTCGACGTTTCCTTCCTTGTCAGAGTCGAAAGAGTCGTTCTTACCAAGGCTTGGATTCTTGCTGGCCTCGGTCATATCATTGACTCCGTTTTCCTCTTCGGCGTTCATCTCAAGGGATTCGCATACCTCATTTAGGATGACCTTCAGGATGTCATCGCAGGCGTCTTCGATCTGGATGTCCGACGGCAGCTCGTCTCCGAACAGCTCCGCATAGCGCCGGCGCAACTTCTTGTTGCTTCTGACAGCCTGGCTGTATCGCTCACCGACCATTTTGCCTCCGACAGGCTTTCCACCAGTCTAAGGTTCATTGTCAGCAAGTGTTCACCAGAAACAAACTTCACACTTCAGTACGAAGAGGATGGTCTTACCGGTGGGGAGTAACTGAACGCAGTTTTCTCTCTGGTTCCAGCTTTGATGACTCTGTCTTCCCATCGAATCTTGGTCTTCAGCTCAAAGAACTTGACAAACCTGCCAAATTCATTCCGGAAGGTTGAGCAACAGCCACTTGGGCGCTCAACGCCGCGCTCAATCCACCTGCCGTCATTCTTCTTGTGAAAAAGCTTCGCACCGAACCAGTACATGTGCGGCCGGGAGGAGTGGGACTGGAAGAGCTTCAGGTTTAAGCAGTATATGTCAGCTGGGACTCGGTTCAAGTTTGTGAGGGCCCTTCGGGACGGCCCTAGACTTGTGACTTACATAAAGTTCGTACTTCTCGTGCAGAGCTCCGTCCTCGTTCTCTGATGATCGGAAGAGATCAACCTTGTACTCGAAGGAAGTCGAGTCTTTGGCAACACTGTACCACTCTAGATTCATATGTTAACTGTGCTCAAGGAGTAGGACTGGTGAATATTCACTGACCAGGACGGATCCACCTGTAAGCCTGGTCTGCAGCCCGGGCTCTTTTGACCTCCGCTTCGGCCTCCTTCTTCGCTTTGGTTTTCATGGTATCGTATCTGTAGATCTCCATCGGAAGCTTCTTGTTGTGGATGCAAGAGTCTCTGAACCATTTCCAGTGCAAGATATGAATCCTTTTTGCCCCCTTGGTCCTGCTCCTTCTCTCTGCCTCTTTGACTGAAAATTGACAAAGGTAATTAGCATCTGAGCAGTGAAAAGAAAGAAAGACATAAATTGTAATGAAAAAGGTAGACATTCAACATTGTGAATAGAAAGGAAAAGGTTGCCTTACTTCGGTGGTGCTTCTGTGCGGACTCGAACTCTTCATCGGTGAAGAGAAGATGAGTCGTCGACTCGCTCAAGTGACGTGAAAACTCACCACTGCGGAGGTTAGTCCAATGGAACACCTGCTGTCTGGTAAAATCATCAGGGATGCCTTCGGCAGCGGTGATGACCAAATCTTTGAAGATAGCTGCGACCATTGTGAAGAATTAACGGTGGTCGATGATGGTATGTGAGGGTTGAAAAGTGTAGTCGTCAGTTGGTGACTATGGGTCAAGAGAATGAAGGTCTGTAATGCCGTTGGTGAAGGTGAGGGAAGAAACACTCGATGTTGTAAGCGAGTTGAGAAGGTTGAAGAGTTGAAGTGAGACTGCGAGAGAAAGTAGAGAAAGGGCGTTCTCAGTTGGTAAGAGCAAGCAATGTCTCTAATACCAATGATGAAGATGAAGGTGAGGATAAGAACGACTTGACATCGTTAGTGGGTTGAGAAGGATAAAGACTTGAATTGAGTGCGTGGAAGAATCAGGAAAGGGGTATTCTCAGTTGGTCAGAGAAAGCAAGGTTTCTGATACTGATGATGAATGTGAGAGGAGGTCTGGAGTCGTGAGTGAGGTAAGCAGGGTGAAAAGCTGGAAAAGAGGATGAGTGAGAAGTCGGGAAGGGAAAGGAGTGGCTGTTTTATACGTGGAGATTTGAGGGAAGGAGAGAAAAAGAGCCAGGGCGACTGAAAAGGAAGGAGGGCACAACTGGAGGTGTAAAAAATGATTGGGAGGAAGGGACTAGGAGCCCTGGTGTTATAAATATCGTCAATCATAGCCCTGCTATCTATTCTAAGGCGAGATCGTTTCTCCAAACAGAAGCAGGTAGCCCTACGTTGGTCCCTACTTGTATACCTGACAGCAGTCTGGGCTCATGCGAGAACGTGGAAGTAAATGACTATTTAACAACATGGAGAAAGCGGCTTCAGGACCAGACGTGGATATTCAAATACAATGCACACAGTCTTCGATGTAGATTATTTGGTAGAATCTCAAATACTCATTCATTCAGCGAACACTCTATCTGAAGCTTTTCGCATTCTTGACAAACGTCCTAATCTTCTCCAAACTCTGCTTACTGTCCTCCTCCACTCCGCTGCTCACATCAACACCTACGATACGGTCACCAAACTCCCCAACAGCCTTGACAGCCTCGAGCACATTGTCGGGGTTGAGACCGCCGGCAAGAATGACTTGCAACTCTTGGTCCTTTGCCAAAATATCCTTGACGCTGGAGACGTCAAGGAGCTTGCCTGAGCCGGCTCCCGAATCGAGCAGAGGAATGGTGTGGTAGCCTCGTTTCCCGATGCCAACGTTGCCCGGCTTGAAAGCCCGAATAACAGGTACGGGGATCAGGTTGGCCCACTCAACTGGCTCGTTGCCGTGGAGCTGGACAATGTCCAGGTTGAAGCGCTTCTGCTTCTCGAGAACCTCGTCTAGGGGCTGGTTCTGGAAGATACCCGCAAGGAGCGGACGCGAGCTCGATAGCCTGGCGACAGAGGCAGTGTAGTAATCCGTAGCAGATTTTGTAGGGATAGTTGTTGCTGCGCGTATAGCAGTAGGCACGAAGGTGTGTACTGCTTCTGAGATGGCTGTGGCATTTTCGTCGGATATGCAACGCTTTGCACCTGGAACCAAGCAAATTCCCACGAAGTCTGCGCCGGCCTTGACAGCCTCAAGGGCAGCCTCAGGAGTTCGCGTTCCGCAAATCTTGACAAAAAGGGGCTGGGTCTTGACCGGTTCTGGCTCAGCGTCTGTACCAGAACAGAGTTCTCTAATGAACTTGGTTGTGTCCGGCGCTCTGACAATGGCCTCTCCCACGAGAACAGCATTAACTCCATCGTTCTTGCAAAGAATGACATCCTCGTGGCTATTGATACCACTTAGGGCGCAGATGATGGTATTTTCCGGGACCATGCTTCTCAATCTACTTGTTGTGTTCATATCGACCTCGAAGCTCTCCAAGTTGCGGTTGTTGACGCCGATAGCCTTGGATCCAAGTTTTAAGGCTGTCGTCATCTCCTCGGCTGTCTGAACCTCAACCAACGGCTCCATTCCCAGGGAAAGGGAATACTTGTACAGCCTCTCCAGAAGTTCCGTCTCCAGCATCTTGACAATGAGCAAGACGGTATCGGCGCCAGCAAGTCTGGCCTCAAGAATCTGGTACTCCTCAAAGATGAACTCTTTCCGGAGGATCGCTGGTCTATTGGGCATACCATCCAGAACTTGCCTAACGGCCCTCAGATCCTCGATGCTGCCCTTGAACCACTCAGGCTCGGTCAGCACGGATATAACGCTGGCACCCGCAAGGGCGTATTTCTTTGCCTGGGTCGGAGCGTTGATGTTGATGTCGAAGATGCCCTTTGAGGGCGAGGCTCGCTTGATCTCGGCCATAAGGGACACATCGAACGGGGTCTGGCGAAGGCGTTCAATGAACGAGACTTGAGGCGAGGCGGCATTGAGATCATACGCAGCCTGTAGATCTGCAGGCCTTTGCGAGGGAATAAGCTTCTGAGCTGTAACAGCAGCCTTCCGATGAGCGTAAATTTGCTGCAAGATATTGTTCTTCTTGCTCGCAGCCGGCGCAGATGATGGCGTCTTGGCTGCGGCGCCGTTGGTCGCGGAACCCTTCTGAAGTCGACTGTTCTCCTCCCAAGTGCCACCTTGAAGTTGCAAAAAGTTTCGCAGCATAGTCCGACCCTCTGCGGTGAGAATGCTCTCGGGATGGAACTGGACACCCTCAATGGTGTACTCCTTGTGTCGCACGCCCTGAATGATACCCGGGGATCCGTCCTCTGTTGCAACCCAAGAGGTGACCTCCAAACAATCCGGAAGTGTTACACGCGTACCGGCTAGAGAGTGATAACGGGTAACTGGAAGACCTTGGCGCAGACCAGCATAGACACCCTTGGCATCGTGTGTCAAAGGAGACGTCTTTCCATGAAGCCACTCCCCTGCGGATCCGACCTCGCCGCCGTAGACGTCAAAGATGCACTGCTGTCCCATACAGACACCAAATATGGGGATCTTTCCGGAAAAGTGCTTAATGGCATCTCGACTGACTCCGGAATCTGTGGTGGGGTGTCCAGGTCCGGGACTAATGATCAACTGAGTTGGCTTCTTGTCAATCAGCTCTGCCAGCGTGATCTTGTCATTTCTGAAGACGGTCACATTCGCGCCTTCGAGAATGAGGTATTGGTAGACATTCCAGGTGAAGGAATCGTAGTTGTCGATCAAGATCAAGTTGGATGCCGTGGGAATTGGTGGCGAAGGGTCCGGATGCTGGGGTGAGTGATCGATGATATCCAAGGACGGCATCTTGGAAAATTGTACCGAAACCGCCAAAAAATGAGTCAAATCAGCAAGGCGTTGCTAAATTTCAGTGCCTCTTGTCAAGAAAAGTATTGCTTCGGCGGCAATGGCATTCGAGGTTTGAATGAGGTGAGTCAATGGGACGGGTTGAAATGAAGATAAAAAGGCGGCGACTCACTAAAGTTGTTTGTCGCACAGTGAATCGGAGACTAGTTTCTACTGTACAAAATGGCGGTTAACTGGGTTGAGCAAACAGTGCACAGAAGCTCCAAAGGCAAGCTGCAATATACCCTGACAGGCCGCCCCGCCGCTATATCGCGATCCCGGCGCCCGGGACTGCCTATTGTGGCATTGTACCTAGAACGGGCGCTAAGACGGATATGACTTAGCGCCAACTCCCGGAAAAACCAAGGAAGTCGAGCTCACTTTTTTTGGGAGCTCCAATCAACCACCTGCAGAGAGGCTGCAAAAGCATTCGCGGGTCCAAGTGTGTACAAGCGCGTCCATTTGCTTTCTTTGCATCTCAGGCAACATAGCTCATCGCAGCCTCGCCTGATGCAGTCTGGACCTTGACTGCTCTGCCCAATCGACCTCTGCGGCAATGGCGCAAGTGGCAGACCGTCAATATTTTCCTCCTTTGGAGGAATGCTTGAATGGAGATACCATCATCATGTGGGTAGCCCTGCGTTTGTTGACTTGCTGATTGCCCGGAAAACTGATCCTCGACCTAGCTCCTGGAAGCTCATCGCAGCTGCACTGGCGGACAAAGATGATTCTAGGCGAAAGAGCGAAGCTGTTGTGCAGTTCTTACAAGACGACTTCGTACGAGCACTCATAAAAGATCCGTCGACCGCCTTTGCGCCGCCGAGCGATACCACCAAGTCGAACTTCGAAACGAGGACCGCCGCTATACACGTCACCCCCAAACCGAACGACAAATTCGACATCAAGTTAATCAAGGAGGATGCGCAGTGGCTGAGTAAGAACGCCAAGGTCAACCTTGTTGCTGCGCTTCGCGCGACAGTCATCGAGTTCCAGTCGCGACCAGCAAGCCACCTTACTGGAACACTCTCCTCCCAGGATATAATCAACCTTCAGGAAGCCTCTGGCGTCGCAAACGTACAATCGTCGTCTTTTGTCCCTATCGCGGGTGCTGCTCAGGATGCGGAGACGATCTGGGCCGAATTCGAAAAAGAGGAGTCAAGGCGACAACGGGTTTTCCAGACATATCTTGCCGAGAGACGCCACTTTTTGATGACTGCTGCGTTGGTACAGGAGACTGTGCTCTACACACAACCTTCAGCGCCAAGTTCTGCGGCCGATCTTCCGACAACGACAACTCAATTGATCGCAACGAGCGAGCGTCCCAAATACCTCGAGGATCTCCTTACGACTTACTTGCAGTATGTCACTGAGGCTATCGGTCGACTGGCCGAGGGGCTCGAAGCAGTCGTAGAAGACAAAAGCCTGCTGGGAGAAGAAGTTGAGCTGGAATGGATGCGGACGGCACTCACCGAAGTTGTACACGCCTTGTCGGTCGTCTTCCAGTCAGTAGATGGCAGCGGGGACTCTTTCGTACCATCCGCGGTGGTTGGTCAGTGGTTTTCCCTGATGGACAACTACGGATTTCTCAACGGCATTACTGCAGTGAGTAAACGAAAAACTAGACTTCTTTGGGAAGCCAGGACTAACACCAGCCAGCCGACTGATGCCATTGCCTCCCTAATCATGCCCCTCAGGTCTCTCATTTCAGCTATATCTATCAAGCTCCTGAATCCTACACGATCCATCGATTGTCTCGCCGAAGAAGCCCCTGAATATCGCGGAGACGAGGATCCTTACATTACTGC